TAAGTATATAGATTATTGCTATTTAGAAATAAGTTCTTAAACTTATTTTTCTTAAAATATAGAACAGTAAGTAAAGAAGTAAAGTAAACAATTATCTCTTCGAGTTATGACCTTTGCACTTGGTTGCTGCTTGACATAGGTTGCTAAACCTATTAAAATTTTGCACGTGGTGGATATGAAATGAATTGATTTGTTTTTAGGTTTTATATATATCATAAATTACTATATCAATACCACAGAATTCCACTATAATTTATTAAGCTCAATAACTAAGCTGTATTTCAGTCTAAAAAATGTGAAATTTTAAGCAGAGTAAAGACACAACCTACCTCCTTGAAATCTTGGTTCAAAAAAAAAAAAAGGTGTTCAAACATGTTAAAATGGCTGAGAAAGACACTAGGGGGACATTCTGAGCTTTTGATTGGTTATTCATGTCATATATAGAAGTTAGTGTATATAAGGGAGCGTTTCCAAAAATGGAAAGAGGTGGGAGTGGTGCCACTGTGTTTGATTTATTGCACGAGCAATATTTTAGCAAATTGATAAGATAAGAGGCTCTTATTTTATATTCTAGCTTGTCAATATTGATAATTTCAGTTCCTAATTCGTACAAAACTATAGATGTAATATTTTGACATCACATAACTAATTTGAACCAGTGCTGCATTCAACATACCATGTGACACACAAAAATTGATATTTAACTGTATTTTTTTATATTTACTTTTAAATAAGGAAATTGAGTAAGGTATAATACTAAAATTTGAATTATAATCTACAGTTTGTTACCAAACTTATTGACATAAATTCATGTGAGTCAACAAATGCTATGACATGGTCTTTCACCCATGACTTGTCTGGAAATAATTAAAATGAAAATTACTTTGCATGTTGGATAGGCAACATGTAAAAAGAAAACAAAAGGCAAAAGAAAAATATTGCTGTATAAACTTTAAAACTTACTAAAAAGTTTGATATTTTGAGTATGAAAGCATTGTAATATTTACTGATAATCTGCCAAATTTTGTTAACATATTCTTACTAATTTTAAAGTTATAGCATGGAAACTATAACAGGTACAAAATGATTGTGCTGAAAGAGTTAAGAGATGTCAGTTACTATAAGTTTGCTTTCATGTAATTTCGTATTACAATTACATTTTTGTTGCTCATATTATCAGCTAGCAGAGTCAAAAGTGTAAATTTTTTATAAATCTTATGCCAATTGATTATTTCTAATAGGTTCTCTATTTCAGAGAAGACGTAATAAATATAATAATTTTTTGTGTTTTCATTTAGGCCTAGTCATTTTTTAAGATTGAGTGTCTAGAATTTAGTATTGGTTTAGTGTGTGTATGTAACTAAAATCATTGCAGAGTTGTAACATATTTTAGCCATCCAGTGCTTCAGATAAGCTTTTGACATAATGAGCATTTTATTCCTCGAAATAATCTGCAGTATCAAAAATGAAAACTTGATGTAGAAAATGGGCTTACTTTAAGGTTTCAATGATGTTTTCACCAACCAACAACTGATATTTTGCTATGTGCTTGTTCTTATTTTTGTATTAATGTCCTATTAAGGGGGTCTGGTGATTAGAGTACTCAACTCGCAATCTGAGGGTTGCTGGTTCAAATTCCTGTCACCGACAGTGCTCGCCTTTTCAGTTGTGGGGGCATTTAATGTGATGGTCAATCCCACTATTCATTGGTAAAAAAGTAGCCCAAGATTTGGTAGTGGATGGTGTTGACCAGCTGCTTTCCCTATAGTCTATCACTGCTAAATTATGGACGGCTAGCACAGTAAGCCCTCGTGTAGCTTTGTGCAAAATTCAAACCAAATCTATTAAGGGCTATTTGAGGCAATTGCTATATAAATTTAATATAGTACGAACTTTGTTTATGTTGGTTGATAAAGTCAGACTGATATAATATTCAGTTCAACATTAACCCTGAACTACAGGTTTATACCAGCTGATAATTGCTGTATGACTCATTTATGATTTTTTATATTCCCTCACTAAAACTTAATTTCAATGAAGAAAAGAAAGAATTCATGAATGACACATAGGCCTTACCTATTATTCACTTTGCTACTCTAGCAGTAAACTGTGATATTGCTAAATTACAGTTATTAAGTTCAGGAAAGCAGCCCAAAGAGATACAGTAGTGGTGGAATGCAAGTTGTAGAAATTGATGTACAAAACTTGACATTAAATCTTATAATCTACAAATTGATGTATAATTTTCAGTCCATTTAAATTGAGAATGATTTCTCATGCTTTGTTTTTATTACTTATAGAGGTTTTTGTTTCTTTTCAAGTGGTGAATACACACCCAGATATTTTTCTTGGGGGTGGGGCAAGTGCTCTTTTGCCCTTTCCCTGCAGATGCCCATGTACACACCTATACATGAATATTATGTGTACTGACAAATAGTATGCATGTTTGTTACTCAGAATTCTTATTTTTAATGTGTATTTTTGTGCAATGACTATTTTGTACTTTTAAAATTTTTGAATGCAAAGAATATTGTATTAAATGTTAATTGTGACAGGTCACACAAAAAGGTGGTTAATTTAGATTGATCAAAAAGAGTACAAATATTTCTTTCAACATCATATTAAGGTCTGGGTGTTGCTGGTTGTGAGGAGGGATGCTGTTTTTTTACAAAATGATTTATATTATTTGTTGAGTGAATAAATGGCAGATGGCTTTTAATTAGGATGAGCTATAAGTATAATTTTGAGTAACCTTAACAGTGTTATGAAAGAAAGGGATCTTGATACTCTGGTTGGTTAGTCTCTTAAGCTATCCAAGCACTGTGATGTTGCGTGTGGTAGGGAAAATAGGATTTTGGGTTTTATTAACAGAAGTACTGAATATAAAAAAGAGTCAGAGAAGATCTGATTATTAAGGAAATCGATAATGTTTATGTATTTTCCGTTTTATATTTATTGGGGAGAATGGTAGGATTAAAGGACACTGATATAGATTTTGATGGGGTAAGAGTCATCTTCAGCTAATACAGTTTTATTTTTCTAACCCAGTGGATGACCCATGGAATGGGTTACCTTCATATATGGTGGAGACAACTAAATGTAAAGGCACTTGAGAGAAGGCTTGATAAATATTTGAATGATAAGGAAAGGCTTTTGAGTTTTTTGTTGTTGGTGTTTTTTTTTTTGTTTTTTTGTAAGTTTAGTGAATGGGCTGGCTCAGCTGGACTAACATGTGGTTGCTTTTCATTCTTAAATTTTATCTTGCAACCAGAATCAGCCTAAAATTTGTAAGAAACATCACAGAAAATGCTGATTTTTTTTTCCACTTCAATCTTATCCATTTCTGATTCAAAATTAAGAGTTGTGGGAAAATATTTCAGATTTATCTTTTATCTCTTACAAGATGTGAAATAAATGCTATTTTTATAAAAGAGGTGTGTTGAGGTACCTACTTGAACAGTGTGCTACAAATAACAAGTGTACATACATTTCTATCCTTACAAGTTATTCAAAGAAGAGTAGAATGAAGTACAACACCTGGACACTACCTTTAAAGCTCTGGATATCCAGCAAACATTATTGAAGAGAAAAACCAAGAAACTGCCAATAAAACCTCACATCAGTTATGCAGTCCCATGCATACCAAAACTCAGCTACAGTATTCAGAAGATCTGCAAAAAACACAAACTTCCAATCCACTCAAATCTTTTGCAGCTTACTAATAAAAAGGGCATAATTTACAAAATAACATGCACCCATAAATAAAAATGCATAGGGGAGACAGACAGACACTTGGGTCAGTGTTTGACATAATGTAAAGATGTTGTGAAACTAACGAAACAAACACATCCAACATTGCAGAATACAACAAACAAGACATACCATTGACTGGAAGACATGTAAAGTAATCAACAGATAGAATAATTGGAAAACAATGAAGTAAAAGAAAAGAAGTAACATATATAAGGAAAACAAAAACAAACACTCAACAGACAAAGGAAAAGAAATATACAATTTGTGGATAAGACTAATGAGGAAAGAAAATAGAATTCCTGTCCATACAAGAGCTCTCAACTAGAAATGTGCCTGCACTTAGCAAAGCTGTCTATAAATTGCCTCACCAAGCCTGAAAAAGGAACCTGCAAGTATCCTGAAATGTCATAATATAATATTCAAGGCAAGATATTCAGTAATAAAAATTTTCTAGAGTACACTGAGATTTCAATCTACTTATATAGTTTTAAAGAATAAGTTTGCACTTGATATCTACCCATGTAGTCTGTGAAACAAAATCAGCATTCACTCAGTTTTATATGTATACAATGTAATGGAATAAGTGTTCAGATTAAGGGTACACTGAGATTTCTACCTGAATAATTCTGTTGAAAACAAGTTTACACTGAAATCTTTATCAATCCTACATTCACTGTACATTATGTACTTTAACATTGTGTTAGTGAATATAATTACATGAACACATTAGTTAATTTATAAATTAAGATATTTGTTTGTTATTTTACTATATGTAAATTGAGCAATTCAGCATCAACATAACAAATAGAAAACCTTTTTTTAACACACATGGAAACACACTATGGGTTTTAATTGACATTAAGGAGAATTTCAATCTATGTTCATGTTAAGTGAAGTTTCAAAATAAGTTAACAAGACTACTGAATATTGGATAAATAAGATTTGAACCAACATCTGTAATAATTAATCAGCTTCACAAAGCTTCTGAATTATTCTATCGATACAAACATTCATTTTAATGCTTATGATAATAGAGCTTTTAGAAAGGTTTTATCATGTAATTACATGGTTATCAATGATTAGAAATTACACAGATTTAGTCATGAGAAAATCTTTGATTGTATTTAACTCGGTATTAAGAAGATATGGCTTTCTAAAATGTAGTAATAAAAATACATACTTTCTGAAATTTCTAAACATGGCAGAAAATGTTTTTAATTAATTTTGTGAATAAACTTATCAACAAGTTTTATTCAAGCTGCTAATTTAAGAAATTATTTAATTAGTAATTTGTCCTCAAGTATCTTCTATTTATTTATTTCCAGAAGATTTCAAGAAACATGTGAAGATAGAGGATAACATTTTACTGCTGATCTTCAACTTCTCAGTGTTTCAGAGGTATGCATTTTTTTTTTGTTAGTTTGTGTAAATTTCAGTTTAAGCAATCATATAAGAAATTTCTTTTCCTTTTGTGTGTTGATGAAATGCTATCATAGAAAGAATTTGTAATATTCTTTAAAGATCCTCAAGTTTTTAAAGGAAACTGTATACAGTAATTACCAAAACAACAATACTTAAATAATGGTTTTAAGGGAATGCAATCCAATACTTTTCTTTTAACATGTCCAACGTACTTAAATTTTTTATTATGTACAAATCTTTTGGAAAGTAATTAGCTTTCTAAAAAGCCAAAATTATGATGTTAAGAAATATAGCTTAGATAGAAAATAACAGTTAGGTGATTTAAGAACTAATTAAAAAATATACAACAAACATTCAGGTAATAGTGTAAACTCCTAAGTTAAAAGCTGTTGAAAGTTGTTGTGAGAGAAGACAGTTTAATTTATAACTTAAGATAAATGAGCTGAATATGAGATTTAAATTCATAAAGTATTGAAAATTGCAACATGAATATAAAATCTTGAGTATGCAGAGGTCAAATTAATACTAAAATATTCAGACCAGAGTAGTCTGGGATGCTAAAATAAATCCTTAGTATCTTATAGGATGCTTAAAAAGTCTGAGAACAAAAACACATTTCATGGCTGTTTAGTTGAATTTTAAACAATAGCCCAACTAAAAAAATGTGGCATAACAGCTGCTGACCTTTTCAATTATCATATCTTGGGTAGCATGTAAGGAAGAAGCTGCTAAGACAAAACATGTCTTTGTTATCTAATTAGGCAAACTTGTACTTGTGTGGTTATGCTCATTTGCTATATTCACAGAGCTCACTAATGGCACTTAGAATTTTAGATTTGATCAGAACAGTTGGAATTATTTTTGAAAATGAATATTTTTTAAAAACAAACGATCTAGACTGTTTGAAATTATTAAACAGTGGTTTATTTTTGATGTATTTTGTAATTAGGATTGTAGTCTGTAGTTGTAGATGCTAAATTTTTAAGCTTAAACTATGAAATGTTGCTCCAAAATTTAAAATAACAGCACACCCCTGATATGAAAGTGATAAATAAATTATTCATATTAATTCAGGATTTTATAATTGGTTACAGTTGGCTCTTTTTATAAGCTTAGCTTATATTGGCTTGATTAAATTCTGAAAATAGTTTTATATCTTGTAGTATTAAAATTTTGATGGATTTTTACTGTTGATATTACCTCTTGTTTTATCTTTAAGTTTCACTATTGCATAATTGTTTAGTTTTATAATTCAACAGAAGCTTTTATAACTGTATAGATTGACTTCATTTGGTTATATAGATAATTTTCTACCACCAATTTCAAACATGCAGTTTTGTAGAGCGTAGGTGGTGTGTAAAACATTGATTTTAGTAGCATTGCACTCTTGAAAAGCAAAAACTACACTTAATTTGCTTACAGTTGGATGGTCAACTCAATTAATCAATTACCGATGGGCATCAGTTACGAAGTTTGGTGTCACTTAAATGATATATTAACTGAAATTACAATTATACTGATTAATATCACAAAAATAATCTACTGATCAAGTTAGTGTTTTTGATGATTACTATTTTTGATTATTTCAACTATCCAAGTCTCGGGAAAGTAAGTGATTAATAGAATGTAATTGAATAATGAGCCCGACAATGGATTGATTATTAAATTCTACTTCTCACCTAGTTTTAGTAACCCTACTTGAACACTTTCTAATAAGTCAGTATCCATTTTTATACAAGGTCTAATCTGTACACTGTATTTCAATTAAGTTAACTAGTGATTTGTATTGAGAGCCTCGGTGAGAGATAATAGATATATATATATATATATATCTGACTTGTAATCAGTATATCTGTAAATACACATTAAAATTCTATTAACCTTACTACTAGCAACAGAGCACTTCTTCAATGACTTGCATGACTTATCCTCCACTCTGCCAATCTTCGCTAGTCCCTCTAGTGAGTGGGTTCCTGTTTATGTAAAGCAACCTTTTGCTTTCTCGCTGTACTTGTTAATCAATTATCAAATTCCTCTATTCACCTAATTATAATTTTTCTGCTATCTAATCTGTTTACTGGACGTACTTTTCACAGGTTATCTACTTCTAGTCTGCTGTATCAGATGTCCTTCAGTGTAGTATGTCAGAATGATACCATTACATGATTTTCTCACAAAGATTTTTACAATTTTTTTGTGATAATATACATGTATGGATAAAGTATAAATGAAACTGATTCTTTGTAAATCTTAAATTTGGATTCCTAGTCCATTGTTTAACAGGTTAACAACCACCAAAAGTTTTGATAATGATAAATAATGCCAGTGTTAGACAGCTATTTATAGTGAAAACAAACTTTCCAAAAAAGTAGGTTGCCATAACACCACAAGCAATATTGTGTAAAACCAATGTTGACATTCTGGTAATGAAGGTTATCAACATCTAGATAATGAAATAATCATGAGATAGAGTAATGAATTTATTTTTTGATCGTGGAGCATTTTTCATTAACAACTTCAAGTTTCAATTGCCTTTCAAACCATGGTATGTATTAAAAATGTCACAAAATGTTTATTTGACAATTAGCTTGCTTTGTTAGCCCTCAGAAATCAAAGTTTTATCTCACAGAAGGATATCAGTGGAGTTAATATTCTGTTGTAAGGTATGTTTGCATATTTATGCAGTACGTTGTGTACTGACATTTGATCATCTCTATATAACATTGATATTTCAAAGAATTGATATAAGTTTATTTGTGAGGATATGGTATCAGAGCTGTAGACAAGTCTGCATGCTTCCAAATCAAAGTTAAATTGTGACATCTTTATACATTATAGTTGTAAGCACCTCGTGGTGGTGGTGGCAGAAATTCTTGTCCTGTAGCTGAAGAAAACAAAATATGATGAGCCTTGTCTCTTGTATAGATGATATGAATATTTCTGTTGATTGTTACTCATTAAAGATAAATATATTCCTCTCTAAGATCAGATAAAAAGTTGAAATTCTCTTTAAAGTATTAAATATGCTTTTTTTTAGTGCACACACGAAAATGAAATTTTATCACTTCATGTTGAAGCATGGAATAGCAGTAAGACTATCAAAACTTACTGGCAGTTTTGGAAACATTTCATTTGCTGCTATATATTTTCTTTGCTCCTCTCACCATCATAAAGATCTTTCACCTTATTTTTGGATTGTATTAGGTCATCAAGAAAATATTATTGCCTTTTGGAACACTTTCATTAACCACTCCCAAAAAACTTACATCACGTATAATAGTTAAATGAATCACGTAAACGCCATGTTAGTGTAGCCTATATAATGTGTAAAGTTTAGTATACCCTAATCCCTTATAGTGATTTCAAAAATCAAGACACACATTAGGCATGTAATGCTGTT